GAGTGCCATAATGAAAAAAGTCAATATTAATTAAAAAAAAACAACACTGAAAAAGGAAAACTAAAACCTTGTCATAGTTTCTCATGTTTTGTCTTCCTCGTGCCTGTGTTCTGTTTTCACTCTCGCCTCTTTTCCCGTCAGTTCTTTGTTTCTTCTCCGGTTCACTCTCTCTCATCACACCTGTCTAAATTCAGCAATCATAGGTGCTCTCCATTTTCCACGCAGTCTTGACTTATTTAACTGGTTTCTTTCCTCCACTTTACTCGCATGATCCTTGTTCTTTCTGACCCCCGTCTCTTTGGTTTTGTTCTGCTGTCTCACCGGTAGTGATGGTGAGATGAAGCTTCGGGATGCATTGAAGCTTTCCATCCAACTGGTCCACACATGAGCCGAAGCATCATTTGTTCTATTGCACCATCAAGCGGACAACAAATGTAAACCAGATTATAATGACGTGACTGGTTTGTTGAATATAAAAAAATATGTTTGTGATGACCAGAAATATGGTCTAAATTTGATCTGAATAAGATCTTTATCTGTCTTTATGATGGAATGACTGGTTTAAAAGGGAAAGTACATGGAAAAAAATAGGGAGACAGTTTTCATGTGATGTGCTTGTGTGATTTTTAGACCATGCTTATGTATTGGGGACACATTTTTATTAGTTTGTAATCAAAAACAACAACTTTTCCACTGTGCTGTGCACCAGATGATTTCTCTTTTTTGAGATAGGTCAGTGTTATATCCAAGTTTATTTGAACACCATAAGTCATTGATGTTTACTCTCTTTCCTCCTAGACAACAGGGGCCTCATGCATAAAGGAGTGTGCAGCTTTCACACTAAAAATTGGCGTAGGTACAAATTTAGAAAAGTGTGTTGCACCAAAAAATGTGAGGTATAAAACCATGCGCACGCAGGTTCCTGCGCACCTGAGACCCCTCCCCTGACACGCCTCCATTTAAATATGTAAAATAGATGTAAATGTGTCCAGTGTGTGAGATTCTCCTCAGATTGTCCTCTCTGTGGGATCAGAAATGATTTTTAGATGCAGGGAAAATATTAATTAAATGGAGAATGAGGGAGAAAACTGTAAATAAGTAGTGGGGTGTAAAAATGTGTTTGCCACACACAAAGGTGTGTTGGAGTGTGCGCATGTGTGAAGCTGCTGTCTTCAGTGGCGCATGAGGCTGAGAGACATTTCCACCTTTACACATCTTTAATAAATGACTGTAAACACAGAAATTTATGACTTTGATAGAACTTAGGAAAATATTTATTAAATAGTTGATGTGAAGAAACGAGTCACAGTGCTGCGAGTTTCTGCCGCTGTGTGATTTATATTTTAGAATCATGAAATGTCTCATTCAGCTGCATGACTCCGCTCAGAACTACAATAAAATACCTGATTGTAATTTGTTCGGTGTGATACAAAAAAAAACTACACTGTCCTCAACTCTTCTTGTGGTGATTTCAACCTGCAGAACAGCTGACATTGTTCCACAAATTACGCACAACTTTACGCAGCAACAAATCTATTGTCTGCATCTTGTCGAGCTGAGGATGAGCTGTTCTAAATTAATCTGCTGAGTTATTTTTTTTCTCAGTGAGAATTAAAATGTTTCTTAGACAATTCACACATTTTATTCTCCTCAGCTGTGTGTGCGCCTCGCAAGCCTGCACTCTGTGCGTGTGTTTCCAACTATGTTACAAAAATATAAAAACTTTACAGTTTACAGACTGGACTATGGTTCTTTTGATCATTTTAAACTGCTCTATTTTCTTGTCCGAGATGATTTTCAGTCCCAGGGTTCAGTTTCATGATTCTTCAAGTTTAAACAATAAAACAAAACAAAAAAAAAATTCTAACACCACACTCCATACATCCAGAAAACAGAACAGAGTCATATTTCTGTGGATTCAGGTCAGATTCATGACTTTGTGGGTTAAAATAGTCTACTGAAAAAGGTTGATGATTCCTGACCTACAATTTTAGGTTTAATGGTGCGTTCACACCGAACGCACCAAAAATAAAAAATAAAGGAAACACTTATGGTGCGTTCACACCGAACGCGATTTCAGCGTCAGGAGCAGCAGGTTTACATACAAAGTCTATGGTGGACGCGCTTCAAGCAACGTCGGGAAGGGCTGCGGCGCCTCAAGTGCAATTAGAGCAGCGCGATTTGAACGATTTGAACGATCTGAGCGTTCGACGCGCTGAGGCACAAATCGCTGAAGTTAGAAAATCTGAACTTTTGCAGCCCGACGCGCCACGTCAACCAATCAGAGAGACTCCACTGTGTGACGTAGAGACATATTTCCTGACGGGACAGTTTACTGAATGATGTCCACTAACCTGAAACAGACAGAGCGGAGCTCTTTAGCTGAAATGAGTGCCTGCATTCAGTGTCCTGATCCGCAGCAATGCGTGACAGCGACTCATCCGACTGGAAAAATAGTCCTGAAAGTGAGCTGTGAGCCTCTACTCTGAATCATCTGGTGAATTAATTATCTGATGAACGTGACATGCTCTTGCTCTCTGTAAATAAAGCAAAGCCACTTCCTCGTCCGACATTAAACAGAGCCCAAGAGAGGAGAGAGGGGCGGGGAGGCTGTTGCCGTGCAGCGCTTCAACAGCTGTCCTGCGTCTGACCTCAAAGTGCACAAGCTTCAAACTTTAGCGTTGGCTGCGATTTTGAAGCTGAAATCGCGTTCGGTGTGAACGCACCATTAGAGATTACAGACATTTTATAACACCAGACTGACACATGTACTGTATGAGTCCCCCCCCCCAAAAAGGACCAATTTTCTAGGGGAAGCACTGAAGGGAAAAATACGCGAATCATTACAGGTTTTATATAATTTCTGAGACGTTCTGATGTTCAGTCATTGGCTCAAGGTACTACTAATTATTAATAATTATTTGACAGAACATCAGTTAAAATGACCAGACTGTCCCTTTAAGAAGATGGTCACTGCTCTGTGATCTGTGCTGTGCCCTGATAATTTTACACTTTAGGTGTTCGGGACCAAAACAGCACAAATAAGAAATTTTATTTGAAGTATTTGTGGCCTTTACAATCTTATAAACATGAGCTGCTACCCCTGTGCTTATAAATTTCAGAGACAGAACAAACAGTATTATTAGAGCTAACAGTTAGCCTGTGGGAAATTGGTTTGGCTTGTTATTATTCCTGCTGCTCAAGTTGAATCCCGTTACAGATCGTTTTTAACTGCCCCTCAAGGTCCAGATATTGATTTGCTTACTTGAAGAACCCACAATGAGGGAAAAATTATATTATAAAAAACAATCTAATATTGATTTTTGTCCGTTAGTTTATAATTATGTAGTGGAGCAGCTAACTGTGCCAGAGGTAGATGGATGTAGGATTATGATAAACAGGACACAAAGCTGATGTTTTGTTGCGATGCATGTTCTCTACACAGTTATAATAAAGCTTCATGTGGGATTTTAATGACTGTTTTAAACTGTTTCATTTACCAGAGAAACTTTGAACTATATAAACTATTCGGGCACTGACGGAAGGGTATGTATGTATGTATGTATGTATGTATGTATGTATGTATGTATGTATGTATGTATGTATGTGTGTGTGT